CTCAGCCTCCACTTTCCAGTGATGCAAGAGGTCATTCACTTTGGACAACATGGCTAGATCTTCCTGAAGCAGCATTTTAGAGGGGCACAGATGTCCCATAGAAGGGGTATCTTGAAGATCACAGTCATCTAAGTCGTGCTCCAAAGGCTTCACATTAAGGGCTTTCTAGAAGAACATAAAATCATTTTCTCAAGGAGCTGTAAGGCCTGGCAATAAGTAGAACCACACACTTTGTAGTAAAGGAACATGCATTAAATGAAGAAAACCTGCAAAGAGGACCAAAAGGTGGCATTTAAAGAAGACAAGAAAGGGAACATCACTATAGTGAATGTACCATACCAGGCCAAGAGAAAGACATAAATGTACATGGCAGCCCTGCCTTGCATATCTCTTAGGAATGAGGCAGCAGCTCCTGAAAGCTAGTAGAGAGAAGCATTTTGCTCAGCCCACCAGACACAGACCTAGTACCAGGGCTTTTCAGCCTCAGTGAAACCTCGCTGGAGTTGTGCAACCTCCAGACGACGTACACCTTGCCCAAACAAACCTCTTCCCTAAGCTTCTCAGGCTTGGTTCAGATCAGCAGACCCCACTTCTCTCCAAAACAGGCCCAAGCACACTGTTTGTTATTTGTGATCTGGGGTGGAGGCACTTACTAAAGCGGAAATTCTACAATGCGGAGGATTACATCAAAAAGCAAAATGAGAACTGGGACATCTGAATTTGCCATGTTTGCAGGTTCCACCTTTCCCCAAGGTTAAGGAAGTGGTAGAGGAGGATTTGCTTGTGTGCATTTCAAAGAGACATTAGCATTTTTCCTGCAAACTGCCCCAGCACCAGTAACATCTATGCTAACATCACACAGTAACAGGGAGCGGGAATGAAACGCCCTGGCAGGTGCTGCTGAATACGCCCGAGTGTTGCTTTTCAGCCAGTTTCTTGAAAATTAAGATATTTTTCACCCCCAAAAGACAGGAATTCTTTCCAGAGCAACAAAGTTTAAAAATTCACTTAAAGTTAGTCAATAGGGAAAAACAGCAGTCACATTATTTGTGAATGGAACCAGTGTAAATTTTAAGCCACCGACACAAAAAGGTCACATTTGACTCGAAATCTTTCTACATTAGATCATATTTGTGCAGAACATAAGCTCACTGGGAGTATGAGGAAGTGGAGACAGTTAAGGGACAAGGAAAAATCTGCAGGCACCACAAACTCAGATGCCCCAGCTCTGAATGTGTATTTTGACAAAATCTACGATGTCTGCTGGAACAAGGAAGCTCCTCCACCTCACGCCGAGCAAATTTTGCATCTGCCTACTATTACTGAGGTGTGAACTGCAGATCTGAACTGACCCAGTAAAGCTCAAGCTTTGTTATTTATAGTTTAGATACCCACAGTTTGCAATCATAGTAGCAAAATGACCCCAATAAGACACAGTCACAGTGAATTTAACTCGCGTACAAACTGACTGGCTGGAAAAGTTAATTTGTAGGACATTTGCTTCACTTTGTAATTTTATCTTTGAATTATCTTATTATTATATCTCTGAGGGTTTAATGGGGCTAGATAAGGGGATGCCTTGTTTGGATCACAAAGCAATCGCATGTAAGTGAACGGATTAAGCTTATTATTGTTCCAATTATAGTGTTCAAGAATTAACAGATATTTGAACTGCCCTGTTTCTTAAAGAAGTTGGTTGGTTGATTGATTTGGGAGAGTTTCCTGATGACTTAGGTTGTTTCTTTTGCTTTACAAACTCTGAGATAACAGTTACGGATTTTTTTAACTGCAATGCCAAAGTTTATCATCATCAGAATTGGGCCACGAATGTCACTTATTTCAGCCAAATCCCCAGAAACGTTTAAATTATCTTTCATTTAAAAACCAAACTGCACACACACCCCAGAGGGGTCCATCATTGCTGAAATCCACAGCAACAGCCAAGACTCATCCTATGGAGCAGTGAGAACATCACACTTACCTCATACACAAGCTGAACCTGGCTAATTTTAGACAGAAGAGACAGGAACACTGAACAAGAAACCACTAGAGTCAGGAGGAAAGCGCTGCGCTCACCACAGCCTAGGGTTTCTGAGGTCCGGACCTGCACAAGCCAGCTTCAGTTTGGTCAAGAGAATGGATACCCACGGCATGGTTATTTGCTGGCATACATCCCCAAGAGCTACGGATTGACAAGTGTCCTTTTTTTTTTTTCTGTTCATGGTGCTAGATGCTCAGAGAGACACACACTTCAGAAACAGAAACTTTTGGGCTGATCCCTCCATTTCACAGGATGTTTGTCACTCCAAAACTATCAGAAATGCCTGGCAACCATGTGCCTCATTATGGAATTAAAATATTCCGATGTAGGTGTTAATTTCATTTTAATTGAGGGACACTTTAGGTCACACTAAGGCATCAGGTAAAATGTGACTTTTGGACACTTGAGAAAGCAGCTGCCTTTGCAGCCAGAGTGGTGCCGCAGCAGTGGCACAGGCTCTGACCCACACCATTTAGGACCAGTGTGAGCATTACGCTGGCAGCCCGTCCCAAGATGACCAGCTCCCAGTCTGTTCCTCCACAGGGTCAGACATGCTCTAGCAATGGGGGTCTGTACCTTTCAAGAGTCCTCCCTCTAATATTTCAAGCCAGGCAATTTTCCTAGACAGGGGTCTCAGGGAATGAGAGCTGTTAAACTGGAACGGCATGTTTCGCCCGCCCCCACCACACACAGGCTCCTCCTCAATCCGATCTGCATATCTTAGCTACAGTTCTCCAGACTCAGCAGAGCTAGGCAAAGCTAACATCGTGTCCACGCGGTTACACGCTGCCTGCCTACAGTCTGGTGCAAAAGGCAGAGAGACCTGGATTGCCTGTTCAATTCCTTCTGAAGGAGCACGGCTCCAGCACAGGAACCCAGGCATCAAGAAGTCTAGGCAATACCTGCTTGAACATATCGTTTCAGTGAAGTGAGATGCTTTGTTTCTCTGTGCTCTCCCACTCAAGTTAAACTCAAAACATAACCAAGCTGAGGAAAGCATGCCGGAGGGGAAGGGAGGGAATAAGAGGGGGGAAATCCCTCAACTCTGCAGTTTACTTCTTAAATCAGTTACCAGCACACACGTTTGTTGATCTTCAGGTCAAGTTACACAACTAGTATTTTACTGTGGCACCCACTGCTGCTTCCTCTTGCCACAACTATCTTCCTAAAGCAAATTTTCAACTATGAAAGACTTGTACAGTTAGACACTCTCTCCTCACGCATTCCTGTTGCATGCATCCATAATGTGCACACGACGAATGTAACAGGTGGAGGTCACCAGCAACCAGATTAACCGAAAATAAGTCTCTTACAAAGGAACTTTGTTCTGTACCGATGTAAATTTGCAAAGAACTATTAAACAAAAATGCCTACAATAAACCCACCTGTGAAGAGAAAACTAATTTCAAGCCACAACAATGACAATTTAATCACTTTCCTGTAGTTTCTGCTATTACCCCAAAGCCTCCCAGCAGAGGTATTTATCAGCAGTAGCTCATGAGGACTTTGCTTTCAATCCATGTTATCAGATACACACACAAACATCTAGCTGCTGTACCTTTAGGAGATGATGCCCCAGAAGATGCCTCTGGGCAGGAGTGCAGAGTGGTGGGTTCTGTATGCTCCTCAGCAGGTCCTGAGGACAGTGGTCCAACCTCCAGTTCCTCTTCAATGGATTCCAGTGTTTTTAAGGCTACGGTCTTTGACTTTTCCCCATAAGAAAAGCTTCCCTGGTTCTCCTCCTCTCCCTGCAAGTCCTGTACTACAACACACTCTGGGTTCAGCACAGAGTTCTCTTCACTTTTACAGCCCTGGTTTTCTGCCTGTCGTTGTGGTTCCTCACACCTCTCTCCAGACCTCTGGGTTCCAGATTGACTTGAGCCTTCTGCTTGTGCATCAAGGCCCATCAAAGAGTCACTGTTATTTAGTTGTTCTGCCACCTGATCACCTTCTGCTGACAGAGCTGTCTGAAGTAGTATGGCTTCTTCAGCTTTCTTACACTGACAGGCAGAGACCTCTTGCTCTTCATCATCTGACAAGAGTCCATCTGTAGGAGCTCTGACAAGACAAGGACTATGACTTGTCTGATTCTCACTTACAGTCAGTATTTGTTCAATCTCTTTGAGTTCTTCTGGGCTGCTCCTTCTTCCCAGCTCAAATTCATTTACTTCTCCTTGGTTCTGTTCTAAAGGATTTAACGGAGAACTAAAATTTGCTTCCTGATCACTGCAGCAAGCACCAACTGCTCCTACATCTGCCACGTTCCCTGAAGGAGAGGCTCTCTCCATACCTACATGTGAACTGTCAGGCATGATAAGCAATGTAGTGGCCTGGACTGGTGTAACACTTTCACTGATGCTCTGGCAAGAAACATCAGAACCTTCCTTCAGTGTGCAATATGGTCCCAAAGGCCCTAGGACAGACACAGGAGAGGCATCCATCTGTGTCACCTCATTTTCACCTTCAGTCAGTGGTTCTCCATGTACTCTCAGTGTCACCTCCTCTTTAGCAGCAAGAGCATCTAGAATTGTTTCTGGGCTCTGCTCTGATGTTTCAACACTAGGATTTCTGCTAGGACTATCACTTTCTCCTTCCATGTTTCCAGGAGCGCTAGGCATTTGTGCCTTGCCGTTGACACCATCTCCCGCACACACGTCGCTGTAGCTGCACAGTGCATATTGCCAATCGATTGAGTGTTCGGTGTGGGTCTTCTGCTCTGCAGATAAATCTTCTACACTGCAGGCAGGAGACTCAGCCACAGGAAAGCTATTCCCCATGTTTGCAGGACCACTTGATGTCAGCTGAACTTCTGGAGACAGTTTTCCATGTGCCATCATTTTGTTGCTTTCCAAAGGAATTACATTTTTTAGAACTTCTACAGAAGTCGTCCTCGGAGTGTCCATTTGACAGTGCTCCTTCTGCATAAGTGCTGACTGAATTAAGTTCTTGGAGTAAGTACTGTCTTGAATGACAATAAACTTGTGCTTGCCTTTAGATGCATTCACTCGTGTTCTGGGCTGAGTTAGATAATTTAAAGCTAGCGATTGGGTCAAAGAGCCTGTTTGAGGCCCAAAACGGGGCAGTGAAACTTCTGTCAGCTCAACGTACTCCCCTTCAAGGTCACTTTTCAAGTTCTGTTGAGGCACAGGACTTGTACAGGCACCATTGACAAGAGCTTCACTTAACTGCAGAGCTGTGCTGCTAATGACCAGGTTGTCTCGATTTGGACTTTGTTCCTGTAGATACTGAGATCCTAGGTCTGGTGAACTGCACTCAGCATTGTCCATAGGGAGGCACAAAACTGAGCGTTCCTCTGTTACTTCTGGAGAGATGATACTGTTTTCAATTATTTTTGGTTTATTTATAAATTCAGGATTAACCACTTTATCCCAGGGGACACGAAATATTTTATCATCAGTGGTTAGTAAACAATTTTCCAGTGCTATACCCATCCGCTCTCCATTGAAAGTACTCAACCATTCCAGAGTAAAAATAGAGGTATAGGAAACTTCTGGAATCACGACTTCCTCTACATTATGCTTGTCTTTTGCCAAACATTTCAATACAATTCGCGGAGACTTCTTCAGATAGGGGACCACCTGCAGGTAGAAGTCACCAGGCTTCAAGATTCGCCAGTCAATGGAAGCCAGCTGGACTACAATCTTCTTGTGAATACACAGGGGCCAGCCCTCATGGCGAAACAGCAAGCCACAGTACTGAACCTATGGAGAAAAGAGAAAGTGTTTTCAGCATGAGGAACAGATCTCAGCTCAAGCTTTTGGACAAGAGAGATCAATGCTTCTCTTTCACAGCTGTAGCAACAGAACAGTTGAATTTAGGGTCTTTGGTTATTAGTGTAGGGGAGTTTTCCAAACTAAGGCCTTCTCTTTAAAAAGCAGAAACAAGAAAAGCTACCAACACAAATCACCAGCATCTCAGAATCTGATTATGAGCCAATTAGCTGCCAAAAGTCTCAGCCCTGTTTTAAAGTTGGGTCAGCACAGGCAGGCAGAGGTCTAAGCCCAAGAACCCCAGCACAGGGAAATCAGTTCTCGCCTGCCAGTGTTCAAGCTGTGAGACGCTGTCTCCACCTCTTTCTGACTCATTAGGACCAACTCAATTGACTAAGGAAGTGAAAATTCAGACCATACAGCATCCCTAACCAAGTGCCATCAGAGAAACAGGCAGACAGTCGTCTGCTTACAACGCATGGACAAACCCCACTGTCCTCAACTGAAGACCATCCACAGCCTTAACAGATAAGGTGGCAAATAACACTCATTTCCAGAGCATCCGCAGCAAGCTCTAGGTTGTACCAGGTACACTTGATACCAACCTGCCAGAAGGAGGCTGTAGACATAGAAGCCTCATTGCACAGGATGCCGCCTGGCACCGCAAATTGTCTTTTCTCTGGTGAAGCAGTGTTGGGTCTTTAGACTGAGGTCTGCTGGAAGGGAGGTAATGAAAAGCTTTGCTAATGAGGAAAGGCATAATGAAAATACCAAGGCCTGTCTGAGGACTTGTTTTTATTCCCTAATGTGCTCTGCTGAAGTATGCAGCATGTTCCACCTAATTTTGGTTAAGCAGCAAAGGGTGGCTGCAACCTACCAGTAAACAAAAGGAGATACTGTGAAGACAAAGCAGGAGAAAGGAGGCAGCAATAAGGAAAGCATAGCAGAACCACAGAGAAAGAAGGCAGCAAGTGCCATCAGCAAGCTGCAAGGAACTACACTTAGCACACCAGGGATTTCCTCGTTCCCAAAACACAGCAGCACTCAGGAGAAGTCTCAGCTAAATCCCAACCAAGGAAAAGAACTGACGTTTCATGGGTGAACTGACGTTTCATGGGTGAACTGACTCGACTCAATTATTTACAGCTTTATCACAACATCAAAAAAAATAAAATAGTTGCTTTGAACTTGATTCTGTTTGGGTAAAATAAGATTTAAATTGAGCCATGACATAAGCCATCAGTTCCATGATTAATTTCACCTTTCTGTCACAACAAGGGTTTAGATAGGATTTTCCTGGTTTGGATGCAATACTTAAATTAGAAAGCTGTCATCTGGAAGCCCAAAGACTTTAGTATTGGCACCATTAGATTTCAGATATTTTATCTTGTTTCTCTTACATGGTCACATGGAAGTCTTGACAGAGAAAGCAATTTATTAAAAAATGCTGTATTCTGCAGGCCAGACAGATGAAAGAAAAAAATACCTTGATTCAAATATTTTGCCATATAGCAGAGAAACCACAGAACTGGAAGGAACCTCCTGGTTCCTCACACACCTTGAAGCAACAAGTAATGGCATCAAGTAATTTCTTTCCCATGTTCAGCAAGCTCTACCTTCAGCCCAGCCAAGTTTCTTATCCTCACAACACCTGATGCAAAGATGCTCAGAGCCTTGAAAGCCCAAATCATCCTTCAGATTCAATAATTCCTCCTCCTCGACTCTGGAGCTTATTCTCGTGATGTGTTCCTGTTGCTTAAAACTATTAAGCCATGTCAGATCACCTTAGCACGTCTCCCTTGATCACCTGTTAGGCCTGCCTGAAGCACCTCCTTGGCTATGCCTTTTTTATTTTTTTTAAAAAGAACATTTATTTGTTCCACTTCTTCACCATGCAAAGCATCACAAAACACTGTGTGTATAATGGCACCAATGCTTCCCAACTGTGCTAGAAGCATCTCTGAAAGCTAAGATCACATTTGCCTTCCAGTCATGTCCCTACGGTAACACAATCACCTGCTAGTTTTTCTTTCCAAACTGATGAAGCCCAGTTCACAAGAGAAATTCTGCCTGTTACTTTGTGGAGGTACACACTTGCCCTCTGAGTCTACAGTCGCAAAAGCTTAAGTACAAAGTTTTGTGCAATACCTTTATCACCCTCCTCCTCCCCCTTTAGGTTATTGCTCATGTCTCCCAGGCTGGTTTCATCACGAATATCTGTCATATGCATACTCTCACTTTTTATGCCAAGGTCATGGATGAGAAGTTATATGTGTCCCATGACTCCTGCCTCCACCTCAGCTTTCACTGCAGCACAAACACCCTCCCTTTCACCAGTTTGTTACCCATCTTGCAATACTGGCATAAAACTCCATCCCTTTGACACAGTAATTAATTTTCCATATGACTCCATAATAAATCCTTTATGGAAGAGATTAGACAACAAAACTTTTCTCTCTAGAGAGAGCTGGTTTATGAAAAAGGCTAGTCTTACACTACCTGCCATGGAGCAAACCACGTGAAAAACGTTATCCAGTTTTTAATGGGTCAGTTAATTCAGTCCTTGCTCAGTGCATGTTGTTGTACGCTCAGCTGGTTCTCTGTATTTTGTTACTAGCCCTGACTTAACAGATTCAATAAAAATCCCTGTTATCAGACATTCAGCATTACGTGGTAACTTCTTCCATGTTCCAGGATGGAGTCCAGCCAGTCCCTTTTCTTCAATTCCATACCCATTTCAGTCATGGCAGTTCTATTTCTGTTCACTCAGTGCAACAGCCTTACTGTTGTACCTACATGCTTTATCACTACTAAACTGAACCTTACTTTAGTTTTCATTTGTTTGAAGGATCATGTTAATATTACCTTTATAGTCTAACCTTGAACTCAGAGCAGCCCCACCTCCCTTCACTTTCTCTTTCTATTAAGTTAAAAAGCCCTATAAAATAATGCACAGTTGCTTGTGCTTCCCTCAAAGGCATGGGGAGCTAAGCTTTGCCATCTTATGTTCTTATGCTTTCTGATCTCTAAGACATAGATCCCTCTACCAGCTAGTTCCTTTCCTTCACAGCACGGTTAAATTCTACAATCCAAGAGGTCCTCCTGCAGCACAGTTTGCAGACATTGCTGCTGGCTTCAGCAAGTCTCAGGCTGTACGTACTTCATGGTCTCTTCCATCAAGCTCAAGAATCGCACACCACCTCAGTCAATAGAGCCTGTATCTCCTACAGAAGTGCCCAAGCCAAGTATATTGTACAGAAGTTTTTAAAGAAAAACAATTTGCAGTTTTCCAAAAAAGAATTTACAATTGCACGCTGCACCACACCACATCAACCCTTCTTCTGCCACTAGAATATCTCCTAGTAGGTACATTAAGGCCATCTGTACTAAGGGCCTCTTAGGGTAAGAAGCAGACAAAAAAAGATCAGTTCCCAAATGATTATAAATAGTTTATATGACTGAAAAGTGAGAGACACAATCAGCAGTAGCACAAACATAAAGCTGAATTCCATCTGCACCTACCTAACACAGAGTTTCTGTTAAACATGGATGCAGAGTAACCTATTTGGGGGCCATTCATACACCAAGAAATCCAAAATCCAGTGTCACCACTCAGGTCACCTGTCTGCCTACTGACTGACAAGTGGAAGAAAACTCAGCATTAAAATCACCAAAACTAAAATGCAAAACGCATTGAAGCTCCTGAAAAACCCTACAAAGGCACAGTCTAAACTGCAGCAATAGCTAGAGTGCTGTCCACGCAGGAATGTAAGTCCTTCAATAGCCTAAACATTTCAGTTTTAGATAGGACAAGGGGTAATGGCTTTAAACTGAAAGAGAGTACATTTAGTTTAGATGTGAGGAAGCTCTTCACTGTGAGGGTGGCGAGACACTGGCACAGGTTGTCCAGAGCAGCTGTGGCTGCCCCCTCCCTGGCAGTGTTCAAGGCCAGGCTGGATGGGGCTTGGAGCAACCTGGTCCAGCGGAAGGTGTCCCTGCCCATGGCAGGGGGTGGAACCAGATGATCTTTAAGGTCCCTTCCAACCCATACCATTTTATGTTTCTATGAGCTTTAGAAGTGGAGTATCCTCATGCTGGTCCTGCTCCAAAAAGCACCTTCAAAGGGAATATTACGTGAAGAGGCTTTTTTTGGTTGTTTTAACATTTCACTTTGAGGCTCAAGTATTTTCTCTTCTCGTGTCCAATCGCTACCAAGCCAAACCAGGCTCATCAGAGGAATGATAGGAACAGAGTCTATGCCCAGTGGTTGCACCCAGGAATAAAGCTACCTCTGAGGAAAGAGCTGGGCACCAATGTCAAAGATGTCCCAAAGGTTGTAGCTCCTAGAGCTATGGGGACAGCTGGGCTGGAGCAGACCAACAGCCTGTTAGGCTCGGGATGTCACCTGAAGGCCAGGGGCAAAACCTGGTTTCTTACCCTGTGCTAAGCAAAGACCCCTTGGCACATCCCTCCACGCAGCCCTCTCCACCCTCTGGGGAGCACATACCGGCTAGTGATTTTCATACACTCAGCTGAAGCCCATGAACTTGTCTAATACTTTATGAAGCCACTTACACTTTTGCCACTGCAGAGGCTGGCAAAAGATCTAGTGCTCTCAAGATTTCCTACAGTAGTCATTCAGACAGGAGTTACTTCTTTTCTCTTTACTGTGTTTAGGAAAAGCTCACATGGACCTGCCGAACTACAAACTGAGGAGGAAACATTGTTTTTGTTTAGATTCTCTAAAAAGCAGACAAATCTTAAAGAACAAGTAACAACAAAGAGTCCTGTGATTTCAGACAGTGAAGACAAAAGAAGGGGCACACAGTGGAGGTTGGGGGGAAGGGGAGGAGTCCACAACAAACGAAGGAAATAGCTTTCAGCAATAAAAATTCAAACAAGCACACTGCTGAATAAAATATGGAATAGCCTGGGCCCACCTCTAAAGACAGTATGAGGTACCTAGAGCTTGCCTTGATCTCCCTGTATTGCTACTCTGAAAGTACAAAACCGTGAGTCAGGGACAGAAAGGGCCAAAAGTAAGGAGGAAAGGCTCAAGGCATCCAGCTGAGCTCTGAGAGGCCTGTGCCTGCACTCTGCCTCTTGCTGCCCACTCTCTCAGTCATTTTACACCTCAGCAAAAGCCCCCGACACCTAATGCTGAGCCCTGGGCAGCCCTTACTGGAGGTGGCTGACCCACCACCCCTGCACCTTGTGGCTACTGGGCAGGCCAGGGGGTGCCAGACAAGCACAGAGCCCTCCCCCATTCCTGGGCCTGTGACAGAAGGGTGGCTCCAAGCACAGCTCCTGCCCCTGCACCACCTGCCCAAACAGTGCTGCATGTGTAGGACAGCCCCACCATCCTGGTTTCCCCCTGCAACAGGACACCTCAGTCACCACCAGCCCCCCTGTCTCCATGTCACCGGGCCCATGCTCAGGGCGGAGGGGCCGCCAGCACCATGAGCTCCTCCAGGGCCCACCACCCTCACACATCTCCCACCTCAGGGACCCCTGGGGCCCACCGCCCTCTTCCCTCAGGGACCCCCGCGGCCCTCCAGGGCCCACTGCCCTCCTGCCTCAGGGCCCACCACCTCACCACCTCCTGCTCCCACAGCCCCCAGCTCAGCCAAGGCCACCATGCCCATCAAGGCAGCCCTACACTCCTATTGGCCGCTGCAGTCTCAGCTGTCCTCTCATTGGCTGCCAGGCAGCACAAGGCCCTCCCTGCCACCACACCCCTGTCCCACAGGGGCCTGGGCCCCGAGAGCAGCCATGGCCTGTGGTGGTTGTGTGGCCTTGGCAGCCCCTGCCCAGCCACCCAGGGAGGGACAGCCCCCTCACCGGCACCCTTCCAACAGGCCACCCTGTTACTGCCCCGAACACCTCCACCCTGTGGGAAGGGCAGCACTGTGGGCCCAGCTCCCCGCAAGCCATGGGGGGCAGAGAGAGGGCCATGCCGAGCAGCGGGCTCTTCTCACAAGCCAGGCTGCTTTCCTTCCCTCCCCTCCACCACCTCATCTGCCCAGGGCACTGCCGGGTGCCTGGAAGCTGCCAAGAGCTTAGGGAGTGCAGAAATTCCTACCTTGCCTCCTTTGGTGAGGGAGGCAGTTTGGGGAAAGCCATGAAATGTCTTGCAAAAATTACTAGTTCATACAAACGAAAAGCCTTTGTTTCTCTAAAGGGGAAAAACACACTATGCACCATCAAATTAGAAACTGCAGCTAGATAATACCAATGGAATAATTCCTATTTGAGTGTTCAGGGTGAGAGAGAGCAGTTCCCCAGAATCCTTATGCACAACCTCGGATCTTCCTGGGCTCATAAACACATGGCTGGCACCAAGCTGGGGGCTGGTGACAAACACAGCACCAAAACACTTTGCAAGGTGACCAGCTCCCAGGGGTTGCTACGTGGATCCAACATATGTGATGGGTGCTTCCCCACAGCGTTTCACCTCCTTGAGACAAATAAGTGACTATTTCAGCTTCTGTGTAATATTTTTCTTCCTCTCAGAAGTCCCTTGCCCTCCACCATGAGGACTTCTATCGAAAGCCTGGCCACATACACCCTCTAGGTTCAGAGACAAAAAGGCTAGAATGAACCCTAGGTTTAGGTTGTCGGGGTTTTTTTCCATCTTGCAAACTTTGAGCCAAGTTTGTGATGGAGGTATTTGACTCATCGTTTCTAACATTTTAGACTCCCAGCAGTAAAGCACGTTAATCTTGGACTCGTTCTGGCAGTAAATGTAACATGACTCCTCGGGGCTACTGAGCCTTGCGACCGTTCCAGCAACCATCAAAAAGGAGCTGGAGTTCTGGGAAAAACACCGACTGGCAGCATTTTGCCCTGCATGCCCTCCTGGCAGCGGTGGGAGCCCAACAGCTTCATCCGCAGGGCCAGGGAACCACTGGGGTTAGAAGCCACCCAAATCAGCCATATCCAGCAAACGCTTTGCTAAACCTCTTCCTCTGAATCTCTTAAGACTTCTGTTCGGTGTTCCCGGTTATGAAAGGCAAGGGCACTGCTCCACATCTGATCTCTGCACAGTTAAGCTTCAGTAACAGTTTCTCAACTGTTTCCTAATTGTCTGCCTACCCTCCCCCACCTAGGCTGCCGTACTCATGCAAGCACTTTTTGCCAGCCGTTTTACATACAAAAGCAAAAAGAAAGTTCTCCAAGAAAGCCTTTGCA